TGGAGATGCCCCACAGCAGAAAATGCAAAAGAATGCCTCTTTACATGTGAATTTTTATTGTTTTAATCGATAGGGATGGGGCTGTGTCATACAAAATTCATAAGTCTCGATCTCTTGGAGAAGAGGAATTAAAACGTTGATCCTAACAAATACAATAACCATGCTTCTTGCTTTCTTCTCCCATATTCCATAAAAACAAGATCAACACAGTAACCAATAATCATAGTAGACAAAAGATCAGTCGGATAGTTTTCAGTTATATTGTTATACTGCTTTGAGTAAAAGCATGGTAAGTAACAACACATTCAAACCTACATGAAATTTATTAACTAAAAAAGAAAAGAAAAAGGGATTAGATAAAGAGTCAAGTGGGTGGATATGCATAGATTCTTTTTGAAAAACCAAGAGTAATTTTATTGCACCTAGAATTTTTTCTTTTAAAGAGGAAGAGGAGAAGAAACAGGCCCTTCAACTTCAATCATGGGCTATAAGAAATATAAATAATGGGCTTATTACAAAAACGTGTTTATTTAGACTTTAGAGATCAACAGAGAAGGGCATTCCGGTTTTCGACAACCAAGAAGCACCGTCGATGAAATTGGCTACCGTAAACTGACGAGCTTCCTTTTCATCCGATATGACGTGAAACCCACCTGGTTCTCTGTACCCGAACCGGGACCCCTATTCCTATACTCCGCGTAATACATGCTGCGAAAGTCCGTACTTTTGTCCCATTGGAGCCATCCTTTGGGATCGACCAATTGGCCAAGTTGCGTCTTCATCACCACCGTCCGTGCGTACGGCCTCCACGGACGACCGAGATAGGTTTTCACGCCTCCGAGCCATACCCCCGGAGCTTCTTTCACCTCCGAGTTGTGTATCACGATCCCACCCCTCTGATTCTTGCTGTCCCGGCTCTGCGCCGTTATCGTGTTGACTCCGCCGGGCGGTCTCAGTGCGAATATCTTACAGTCTTGAAATATGACGGCTGCATCGCCAAATATAAAGTCCACCGTTCCGTAGATCTCACATTCCTTGAAAAACTGACGGCTAGCGCTGACGTAGAGAGTGTCTTGAAACCCTTCAATTCTGCATCTGTGAAACGCTGAGGCGTCCGAATACGAAAGTAGAGCCACCGCCTGTTCGTTCTCCGGTCCTGCCGTGTTCTTTATCGTCATGTTTTTCAACACCAAACTGTCCCCCTTAGCCACTGTCAAACAAAAGCTTGTACATTTATGATTTATCATAGTGTGTATACTTTACTCTGTAAATAGGCTACTAGAAATGAGTGAGTGAGTGACTCACAAAAGGTGGCGGATTCAAAAGTCCTAAATCCGGTGCCGTTACTTCTGTCGCCGGTGATTATGGTCTTGCCCATACCCTCGCCGATGATCATCAGGTTATTGGATTTGCTTCCGACAATCACATATTCCTTGTAAACGCCTTGCTTTACAAGAATGACGTACCTACGGCTTCTATTGGTTCTCTTAATTCCCGCACCATCAATCGCTTTTTGGATCGTCTTGTAGTCGCCTGAGCCGTCTAGGGCTACTACTGCATCCACCCTTCCACCATTAGTCGGCGATTCTATTGCTCCTTGTTTTAATACCCCAAAATACTTCTCCTTTGTTTTCATCCCCTGTTTCAACCTCTGTTTTTTTTATGTTTAAAAAAAAAGACTAAGCTAATTTGAGAATGAAAGAGTCATGTTACCTTGATAATGGCCAAGGCGTTAATAACATCAATGGTGATGCTCTGTAACACCGATTGTAAGGACTCAGATGAGACACCCATCCCTTCCCGACACGTGTCCAGGTTCGTCAACGCCGTGCTTAGCCAAGTCTGCACGTCCGATCCAGAGCACGCTTTCGTTAGACACGACAAGATGGACTGGTTGAGCCTGTAGATGGTCTCGTCGTACAGATCCATGCAGTTCTTCCACGCTCCCTTCGAATCAAACTGTGACCCGAGTGAGTACGTGTCGCTCTTGGCTTTCACAGCTCCCTCTAGTGTCCGTTCTAGGCACACCTTTAAGAACTCAGTCGAGCTTGTTATTGCTACCTCATCTCCAAGAGCAATCCATGCAAAATGAAAAACTACAAAAAGTAAGAAACATTTTACCATCATCACTCCAAGCCCCATTGTTTCTCTCTTCTTTTTCTTTTAGTATGTAACAGATATTGTGTGTGTATGATAGATTGAGTGGTTTAAGATAGAGAATGAAATGGTCGAAAAGTGAATTAAGCAAGTAAAACTTCAGCATCATTAGTTAATAGCGTTTTGGTTTTTATTCAGTTTAGGAATGAGGTGTAGTTGTAAAAATCTCCATGAGTTGCAACTTGTATCCCATATTTGGTTGTATTGAACAATGAAGGAAATTTATAAAATTTATATTGTAGCACATTCATATTTTATGGCTAAATATGAAACAAATAAGTGCCTAGTTAAGAAGGAAAAAGTTCTTTTGTTTTGTTTGTTCCATCTGATTTTTCATAAACTTTTTAACAAAAAATAATCCTTGAACAAACTACCGCTAATAACATGTTCACAAGCCAATCAGTAGAAAACACAAATAAGACTAAACTGAAACCAGAGGCAACATTGCCACGCCCATAATCTCCAAAAACCGAGCCTTACAAAGAACCACAAAAACCGGCTCATGCCACCCCGTCCCCCAACGCCAAACCTTTCACCTGCAACACGATGATTAAATCCACAGAGTTACATCTCACAATCTTTAAGGACACTCACAAAAATAATAGGCTCTCACTCAACAAAGTCAAAAGCTCGTTCGCATAGTTTCAGTTTATATGAACCATAGAACCGAGCTATTCTAAGCTCACTCTAGCTGCAAAGTTAGATTTAATGCAACAAGAGTCACAAGCATCTTGTAAGACATTCTACTTTAAACATAAACAAAACAAAACGGAATTTGTTCCATTTCTGTGAAGTATATAGAATATAAAAGATTTGTGTACAACAAGATCACACTGAACGATGAAAGCCTAATAGATAGATTACTCTTTTCCAAATCTAAGGAGCATGAAAGCTTTTGACATTTGGAAAGAAGTTTTCAACTTTGTCAGGAAGAAAACAAATGTATCCATTTGAGCAAAGAAAACTCGCAAGTAGTTTCTCTACTAAGTAACATTGCAGTTCTATCTATATACAGCTCAATAATCTTTCTAAACTTGATGCAAAAGAGCTAAGGGTTATGTGTTGCATTCCAATTGTAACAGAGCAATATTAGTCATACTTTTGTAATTCTCAAGTGCAAAGTTGGCATCTTTTGTTGTGTAGTAAAACACTACGAATTGGGAAAACTTGCACTAATCATAAAAAGAAAATGAAAATAATATATATATGTATATATCGATCAGAGCAGTGTG